GGGGGGGGCCCGAAACGAGGCGGCTGCACGCGAGGAGGGACCGGGCGGGGTGAGGGGCAGTCGGGGCTGGGGGGGCGAATGGGAGCCAAGGCGGCGCGGGGCGGGGGCCGTGAGGGGGCTCAGAAGTCGGGCCCCGCGCCGCCCCTCACCCGCTTCTCCTCCTCCTCAGGCGCCCGCGCCGCGGCCGCTACCACCTCCTCCTCCTCCCACTGCCTCCTCCAAGCGCTCGTCAGACACAGTCGCCGCGCCTCCGGGCTCTCCCGCCAGCCGGCCCCGCCGCGCGCTCCTATTGGCCAAGGCTGCCGCCACTCACCAAGCTTTAGCGAGTGCCTCCCTCTGCCATTGGTCAAAGCACCTTTTGTCCCGCCCCACGGGCCCCCTCGTCCGGGCACCCACACAACCCCACCACGCCCGCCCCGCCGTCAAGTGGCGCCTCCTCCTGCGAGTGGCTCAAGCAGCTGTCACTCTGCAGCTCCCATGACGACGTATCCCCGCCTCCTCACCCGAAGTCAACGCCTTGATTGGCAGAAAGCGCCGTCGCTCTGGGCGAAACTCGGGTTGGGTCAGGTTATTCGAGTCTCAGAGGAAATAGGGCAGGAACTCAGATGTGATTGGCTAGCCTTGGAGAAGCCCATACTCCCATTGGCTAGGACAGCTGCCCATCACCGCGGAGTCGTGACCTCCCTCTCTTCTTTCTCTGGTGAAGCCTGCGGCCGCAGGAGGAAGAAAGCGGAGGCAGCCGAGGGGCGGGAATCAGGTGGCTGCGCGCGCACCCGTATCTCAGCGCCCATCGAGGCCTGGGGTTGCCAGGGCAACAAAACTTTATTGACAACCCACCCTGTGCACAAAGGATCTTTCATGCCCCTATGCTTCCAGATCGCCCCTTATTTCTCGAAATATCTCATTTACTTTTTAAAGTATCCACAATCTCTCTATGCACAATCCTCCTCCTGGAAGGAAAAGGTCGTTAAAAGGGAGACAGCGAAGTGGGGGATTTGGTGACAGCTCTGACTCCGGGGGGCGCTTCCCCGGGGCATCCCCTCTCCCCATGGGGATCACCTCTCGCCTCCAATCCTCGAGGCAAAACATAATTACCCTTCCTGAATAATTACGCCTGGAATCCTAAGCTGCACAGGAAAGCAGAAGTCTTTATTTTGCTGCTTGTTGTCTGTCGTTGCGCTTGGAACAAAGCTTGTCCCGTACATAGTAGGGGGCCCTGTTAATATTAATGAGGGGAATAAATGAATACAGCCACGTCCAATAGGAAGCTGGGCGTCCTCTGTGGCGCTGGAGAGAGGCCCAGCCTTTTGTTCAAGGAGCAGCGATTGAGAACTCAGCTGCTAATCTGCAGGTGGGAGGTTCGAGCCCACCAGCTGCTCGGTGGAAGACGTGCGCGGGATTTTTACTTCTTTTATTATTATTATTATTATTAATTTTAATGAAAGTTTACAGAGATTTAGAGTTTTCAGTCATTCATTGTTGCATTTTTCTCCCTGCCCACCCCCTCCCCCCAATTCACTCTTCTCCTGGAAAAGTAAAACTCTTTCATTGTTATGCAATCCCTCCCCCCAAGTCCACTCCACTGTGCAGCCTTTATTCTGGATGCCCTGTCATGAGGGACTTTGACTTCTGTAAAGATCACACAGCCTGGAAAACCCTACAAGGCCGTCCTATTCTGTTCTATGGGGTCTCTGACTCCGAAGGAGCCGAAGGAAGTGGATTTTCACGACCCTTTGAGGGGCCCTGGTGGTCTAGGGCTTAAAGCGTTCCCACTTGGCTCAAAAGAACGGAGATACATGCAGAGAAAAATCGAGAAAGTCGGCTTCCAACAAGATTTACAAGCCCCCTAATAAAACAATAATAGTAATAATAAAATTTACAACCCAGGAAAGCCTATGGGACCTCTCCACCCTACCCTACAGCGTCTGCTAATCGCCCTATAAGTTGGAGGCGGGTGGGTTGGGATTAAGGAAGCTCATGAATTAAAAAAAAAATTAAAATGTATTTTGAGTTGAGCTTACAAATCACATTGATTTTCAGTCAATCATCTACATACGTTTTAGTTTATAACATCACAGTTGATTAATGTTAATTATGATGTTTGATCAATCCCTTAATATATATTGATTGCCTTGCCTTTCATTCAATTTAGCTGTTTATTGTTACTCCCTTCTTCCTCCCTTACCATGCCTGTTAACCATCCCAACGTTATTCTATATGTAAACCTCTCCTCTGGTTTTTTATGGTCCAGATGAGATGGATTAACGTGATAACTGGGGCGATGAGGATTAAGTCTGAGTCAGTGAGACTGGTTTAGGATAGGGCAGGGTTCAGAGCTCTTGTACACAGGGCACATAACAACAAAACATACCATCATTTTCCCTTAGTGACTGACTGGCATGTTTCATAAATCATTTAGACTTAACAACAAAATCCCTTATGGCTTCATTTACAATGACCAAGGAGGATAGAAGGAGAATTGATGCCTTTGAGCTGTGGTGCTGGAGAAGAGTACTGAATGTACCATGGACTGCTAGGAGAACAAACAGGTTCAACCTGAAGAGGGTGAGACCAGGCTGCTCCTTGGAGGCCAGGATTCTGAAGCTTCATCTGACATACTTTGGACATGTTGCAAGGAGAAACCAGTCCTTGGAGAGGGACGTCATGCTTGGGAGGGTAGAGAGACAGCGCTGGAGGGGAAGGCCCTCTATGAGGTGGATTGATTCAGTGACTGGGGTAATCGGGTCGGGTATGTAGGAAACAGTGAGATTGGCACAGGACAGAGCAGGTTTTAGGGCTGTTGTACAGAGGGTCGCTATGAGTCGCAGGTGACTCAAGGGCACATAACAACGACAACAACAGACATCTAATTTTT